GTGAACCAGCTCTAGCTCACCACTGGTCACGCCCAGGAACACGGTTTCCAAAGGGTGACTGAGCTATAAAAGGGGCAAAAACATCCCAAGTTATCTCTTCTTGTCCATCTCTCTCTTTCACCTAAGCAGACAAAAGAAAACAGCCACTAGACCTCAGGAGCAGATCCTGCCCTGTAATTTGGTCAGCAATGCTACTGAAAATCTGCAGTAAGAATTTCAGCTTGAACCATGTCTAGTTTAAGTTGAGAACTAAGAAGCGTTTTATGATTGTCTTGTAACCATTTCTGATTATAACTTGTACTTTAAAAAAAACCCTCTCTTTGTAGTTAAAGACGCCACAAGCGTGATCATGCAGCCTTCCCAGCAGTACATTTTGGTGTTCAGGGCAGCCGGCAGAGAGGTAAATCATTGTGGGCCACGGGTCAGGACTGGGGAAGTCCTGGCTGGTAGCTTCTACCATGTGCTGGGCTCAGCTGCTAGTCCCATCTGGGCCAGGGAGGATGGGACTTCCTCTTCCCCTGTACGGCATCTGGGGTTGTGTCAGACCCACCCCCAGATTTCTCCCCCAGCTGTAGGAAGTGCCGCGTGCACATCCCAGCACCCCTACTCCTGCACTTCCTGCACCCATCGCTCTTCAGCTGCAAGGGGAGGGATCACAATAGAGAGAGCTGCTCCCCCTGTGCCCAACCCCAGGCCCCCTCATACCCAGACTCTCCCACCGAGCCTAACCCCCTGCACTCAGAACCCCCTGATGCGCCCCACTAACGCAGCATCTGGACCCCTCCACTCATTTCTCCCCACACTCAGCCCCCCCCTTCCGAGCTCTATCCCCCACAGCCAGACTCCCACTTCCGCTGAGCCCCAACCACGTTCACCTGGAAACCCCCCCGCCCCAGAATCTCCCATTACTGTTGCACCCAGAACCCTCCAACAAGCCCCTGTGTAGCCAGGTGTCACCCCCTCTCTGCAGCTGGATCCCCCACTGAGCCGCCTGCACCTGGATTGCCCCCCTCCCCCAGTCCCTCTAGACTTGGACCCTGCCTTGCTGAGCCTGCCTGCCCACAGCTGATGCACCAGGCAGGGCTCTGGGCTGTTTCTGGGCCAGGCTCTGTCCTTGCACTGTGTCAGGGTTGGGTGCAGCCTCACCGCTGAGTCCCGGGGGGAGCCGCACAGTGATCTCCCATCTGTACGAAGCCAGTGGCCTGTGCTCCCCAATGCCATGCTGGAGCCTCTATATTTATTTGACAAATGAATTTTGCAGATTTTTAAAATACTGGGTACAGAATTTTTATTCTTTTGGTGCAGAATGTCCTCAGGAGTAACTTGTTCTATACCTTCCATTCTCCTTGTTTTGGATACTAGTATTCTAGGTACTGACCCCGGAAGGTACCTTTGTAATTTGTACCGGGGCAAAATAGAAATGTATTTGGATTTTTGACAAGTGACCTATCTGTTTATGTCACAGGCCAACCGGTACTATCGCAACATGTAGATTACCTCCTTTGCGTTGCCTGGACATTCAGTTCGGCCTGCCTTCCGGTTACAACACAGAGCAATCCCAGGGCCGCCGCAATCCACCTCCTGGGACTGGGGGTTACTTGTTTGATGGGTTACCGAAGGACTCAGTGGCTAGTCACAAATTCTCGTGTTGACTCTCGTGTCACGGACACCAGACCGCTGGCAAAGAAGATGTTAATTGCAACTGGCGGGGGTGGGGGTACAGAAACCATCTGAGTTTCTTATGAACAGCCTGGTTCTCCCAAATCATCTCCAGTGAGGTCTCACCTGAATGCCGGGGACACACTAGTCATTAATATTGTGGTCCAATGTTGTACAGATACTATGTAAGGAGTTGTGTGTGTATATATTGGAAAATGTGTTTAAACTCTGTAAGGCCTATGCATCTGTTTGGATGTAAATGTAGCATTGTAAAATAACAGAATGCATGCCTGTTTACATATGAAGAGATGTGAACTCTACAGAAAAAGAGCAGGCAGGCGAAAACAAGCCCTGGGGGATTATCCTGCCTTGGAGTAAAGACAATGAACGTTGGGGGGGGTATATACAGAAGGCCCCCCCTTCATCCTGCACCTAGCAGGCAAACGGACGGCGTGGGTCGCAGGCAGCCTCGGTTGAAAACCGTGCAGCAGACTTTGGATGAGAGAAACGTCATCAGCCAGGAGGTTAACATGATCGTTTGTGTCTAGAAAGCATGCTATGATTTTGGCTGTTTAGGTAATGACTTGTTTCCAACGTTCCTATTAAACTCTGTTCCTTTGTTAGTAATGTTATCCTCATTTTCTGTAATCTCAGCCCCTGTGGTTTAGCCAAGTGTCGGTCCTGAGTTGAATCGAATCTTACAAGCCAGTAATACGTATTGTTTATTTGGGGAAGCGTTCAGTGGCACTGGAGTGGGTGTGTGTACCTAGCTCTTCCCGGGTGTGTAGCAGACTTCCTCAGGGGTGGTGGTAATGAGGTGCCTCCTGCCCCAGGGGAATGTGAGGGTGCAGGCGCTGGTCCTGGGAGGCGCCCTGCTCTTGGTGTGTAATAAACACCCTCCCACTTGTTTACTGAGCAACCTGCACCTGGCGCTGTCCCCATCTCCACCTTCGGGTGTCACAGCAAGGTGAAGGGCGATGGCTGGGTTCTCCTTCCCACTGCTCTTTGTACAAGTTCAGTGGTTAGGGGGTAATAAAAGAAGGGGACAGAGGCCTAGGTTACTGCTCCTTTCCAACGCGGCGGGGGGGGGGGGCAGCCTTCATAAGCGCCTGGGCTGGGAGCGAGGGCTCGCGCTGTAGCTCCAGGGGTCGAGGCCACGTGACGCGGCGCTCAGCCATCTGCCCGGCGCATGCGCATTTTGGGAACCGCGTCCCATTGGGCGACTCCCCGGCCAATGGGGAGGCGCCGGCGGGGTACAAATCCGGAAGCGGCTTCCGCGCGGGAGAGCGGCGGCTGCTCCAGCATCCAGAGCAAGGAAGGAGCCGGAGCGGCGTCAGTGGCGCGTGTCCCACCGGGCCTCCGAGAGCGCGGCGCCACAGATGAAGGGAAGGTAACCAATTCCTCCCCCCCCCCAAGCTGCCGGTGCCCTCCCCTGCATAATGCAGGGCGGGCAGGGAGACGCTAGAGCCTGGGGTGGTTTGCCGCCTCGCCCCGGGGATTAGTTACAGACCCCTTATGTCGTTTTGTTTTTTGGGGGAGCTTTTCAAACCCCTCCCCCAAAGGGACTGCTTTCATTCATTAATGGACCTACCCTCCATGAATAGATGTAGTTCTCTTTTACAAACAGTCCGTTCCAGATGGTGGTTGGGGTATCCTCTCATGGTACATGCAGGTACCAGACAGCCTGGAGGCGGAGTTTAAGCTGCTAGAAAGGGGGGAGGGGATTTGCTTTTATTCTTTTCTATTCATGTGGATTCATTTGATTGTCTTCACCAGGTTTCCAGGAAGCATCTAAGAATACATCAGGGTCCTCTGCAATCTACTCTACTCTAGCAGGAGTAGGATTAGCATTCATCCTCTGTTTTGTCTGAGTCTTGCAGTGGCAGAAAAAACTGCTACAGGGAGTTCTGCCACAGTTGCTTAAGAGAGATAAAAAGTGGGAGGCAAATCCAAGTTTGAAGAATGGCTAGCCAACAATTCCAAAGGTGATAAGAAGCAGGAAGCCTGTCTTAAGGCATTCCTGCTGTCTCTTGGCAAGCAAAGAATCCTAGCTCCAGTTATAAATGGGCAGCCCCCTGTGGTGTAACCTCTTATGCCTGCAGTGAGGGTCCTACAGCCTGTTTATTGATTTGTTTTGTCCCTATGTAGGCTGTCCTTGTCCTGTTAAGGCAACTTGACCTCACCTATAATAGCTGGTGATAGTCTCAGATCAAATTTTTTTTTTAATTAAATGCAGATGATACCAGACTGTCAAAAAGATCTCTAGCCAGGGCTTCTAACAACATTGGATGTGCTGCTGCTCCTGTGGGACTGGTTTCAGCAAGAGAATGTATGAAATTATGGCAATTCCTCTGTAATTAAAGGAGGAGGGCTGGGTGTGAGACTTTAGCCTGGAAGACCATGGAACCACAAACAAGTTGCAGCAGGGAACCCCCCCCCCAGGCAAGCGGAAAAGAGGCTGTCCTTTCATACCCAATGGTTAATGTGTGTCTTTCTTGAGTCTGAAAGGAATAAATCTTGTTCCACCAATGTTTTTTCCTGCCTAGCAAGCACATTCAGTATGTGATGTCATGAGCCCTTAATGTGCACACTTAAGTTTTGCAAAGTAGCTGTCAGAACTAACTGCCTAAAGAGACTGGGTTACCCTTGTTGTCATTTAATTACTCAACAGCTGGCCTTTCATATTGTTGTGGGCTGGGATTTGGGTGCCTGATCCCCATGGGCTCTTTGGAAAATCCCAGCAGAGAGCTTGTCAGATACAATTTAAACAGGATCACATCAGTCAGTCCTGGGAGCTGAGATATCCATAAACTATATGATATATCTCATAGAGTGATCACACAGGGCTTTATTCTCTTTTATAGATAGTCAACGGGAGAGCATCAACTTACAGATGCCGAAAATGGCCTCCTTAAAACAGAACCCCATTAAACATTTATAATATAGACTTATAGAGAGAGGACCCCCCCCCCCCTTCCTAAGTAGCACAATACTGAGACTGATATTTAAATGTAGAACTTTATTGATTTAATTACCACAAACAATATGGGTCAGCTTTTTAAAAAAATAAAAAAAAATCAGAGAGGAAAACTTTCTTTCTACAGTTACCTTTTGCTAGCACATAGCAATTTCTCCTACTCCCATGCTGAGCAATTGTTAACTGAGATGGGATGGAACTTATCTAATTTCTTTTTGAACCAAGCTCAAGTTTTACATGTTGACTGTGCATTGTATGAAGATGTACTATGGTTGTTCTTTCAAAAGTTTACAACTGAACACTGTATGTTTAACACTGTGTTCTTCCGGTTCCAAAGGTGGTGTGTGGTTAACTGGTCAATTTGTAACTCTGAGGTTCTACTGTACTTTCTTATGGTTGTTTTATAATCTCTCCTCACATGGAAGCTGTTCCAGCCCTGTCATAACTATAAAGGGAAGGGTAATAGCTGTCCTGTGTACAGTATTGTTTGTGTGTGTGTTCGCTCTCAGGACTGTTGTAAGTAAATAGCCAGGCAAGGCGTGTTAGTTTTCCTTTGTTTTTCTCAACTTGTAAATGTACCTTTTACTAGAGACTAGAGGGGAGTCCTCTGAGCTCTTTAAGTTTGATTATTACCTTTTTCTTTAATTAAAAACCTTCTTGATTTTTCCTTGTTTTAATTTACCAGGAGTTGGTGGGAGAAGGGGGGGGGGGGGAGTAGTTAATTTCTCCCTGTTGTAGATCCCAGGGGTTTGGATTTGTTTTCACCAGGGATTTGGTGAAGGTTTTTCAAGGCTTCCCAGGGAGGGAATCTATTGAAATGGTGGCAGCCGAACCAGAGCTAAGCTGGTAGTTAAGCTTAGAAGTTTTTCATGCAGGCCCCTACATTTGTACCCTAAAGTTCAAAGTGGGGAATCCAGCCTTGACAAATATAGTGACATTATGATATTTTCTGTTTTATCCCTTTCCTAACTTCTGTTTTGACTGCTTTTGCACATTGAGTGGATGTTTTCAGAGAACTATCCACAATGACTCCAAGATCTCTTTCTTGAGTGGTAATAGCTAATTTAGACCCCCATCATTTTGTATATATAGTTGGGATTATGGCCACCTCCCTGTTCAACATATTCATAGAGATCCTGTCACACACAGAGGTGGTGCAACCTAGTGGTTAGAACAGGAGTCTGGCCTACTGGTTGCAGAAGAATCAACAGGCAGAGCTGGAGAAAAGCCAATGTGGTTGGAGCCAGGAGTTCTGAGGAAGGTAGGGACTAGAACTGGAGCGGGGCAGGAAAAGGTTGGAGCAAGGGCTGGTACAGGAAGCAGGTCTGGCACAGCTACAGAGGTAGAATGCATTGAGCAACCGGTTGCTCCAAAGCTTAAATAGTGATCTGTTGGCCCTTCTGTCCAATCAGGAAGCACAGTTGCGTTGCTTAGGTTGCTAGGCAGCTGCACCCAGAGCCAGCTGAGTTCCTGAAACTTTGAGTAGGAGGCGTGGACTGGGCTCTGGGACTTTCCCCCCCACTTTCAGTGCCTGAACCAGAACCGCTACACCAATGGTTCTCAAAAAACACTTTTTAAAATATATAAGCGGGGTTTGGGATGGAGGCTGACAGCTCGCGACCCCTCCCCCCATGTAATAACCTCCCAGCCCACTGAGGGATCCCGACCCCCAGTTTGAGACCCCCTGCTCTACACTGCGATTAAACAGCCCCATAGCTTGACCCATCCGCAAGCCTGAGTCAGCTGACACCGGCCGGTCTCAGGTGTTTAACTGCCAGGTAGACATATCCTTTGTTTCCTGTCTTTCAACCTGTTACTGATGCAAGAGAGCCTTCCCTCTTATCCCATGACTGCTTACTTTGCTCAACTGTGTTAGCAAAAACAACAAGGAGTCCTTGTGGCACCTTAGAGACTAACGAATTTATTTGGGCATAAGCTTTCGTGGGCTAAAACCCACTTCATCAGTTTTCCACTCCATGTATCTGATGAAGTGGGTTTTAGCCCACGAAAGCTTATGCCCAAATAAATTC